TTGATATTGCCACAATTTCACATTAGAACTTGAAGCCTTTAAAATATATTGGTTTGCAATTCCTAGTCTCTAAAAATTGTATTAATTGATAATAGTTATACATGTATACAGTGAAACCTGTCTAACCTGACATTCACTGGGGCATAACATACTGGTAAGATTACAGAAAAATAGTCTGTCAATAGTCTAAATACACAGGTCATATACTATTATTTTCATAACACATGGGATTACAGCATTATGTGTAAAGTGTCTGAATAATCAGGGGTCGGACGAGACAGGCTTCACTGTATTTTATTCCAGTTAAAACTGGTATTAAATATTTAATGAAAACCAATACAATTGAAATTGTACACAACAATACCATAAGTGTTCTAGGACTATATACATATGGAGACTACATGCCAAATGAGTTTGATGTATAGTGCATAGTTCAGTTTCTGGTTTTATAGATAAAATGATATTTTGGTATCTTTCCATTTTCAAAATTTATCTCAGCTTTATACTAAAGCATATCTATACCTTGGACATCAGTTTGTACAAGATCATGTTCTTGCTGTGGTGCTGCTACATGGCCAGTACTGTCTGGAGTGTTAACTGGGACTGAAGTGGGCTGGGGATCCTCCATATCATTGTTCAGTTCAGTGCTGTGTCTTGACAATAAAGAAATGAAGATTTATTTTATTATGGGTTTTCAAGACTCAACAATTTAGGTGTAACCATAATTATTTACAATATGATCTCGATGTATTCCTCTTTTGATATAGCACAACATTAAGACATGGAGAATGGGTTGAAAAAACCACCAAAGACTCATTGGTTAGAAACTAGAAAGGGATACATCTTTCAATAAAATCAATCACTTACAGTATAACTACATGCCCTGGATTAATTTATATAAAAAATCTTACTTTAGAATGTCTATTTCAATTTGTATGTATGCATACTTGACATTTTGGAAATAACAATTTGTTTATCAAAATGTTTAAACACCAAGGTATAAAGAAGTTAATTGATTATAGCTTATCTGATTCACTGCAACATATTTCCTGTCAGGACAATACTTTCTACTTGGAAAATCTATAGCACTGAAAAACTGATCATAATTGTTAAAGTCTAACGGTAAACAGTAAACAAGTATCTTCTACTTTCATTTTGTTGACATAGGGGCATGTAATACAGCTGTAATGTAAACAACTAATGGGTCAAAAAATGTTGGTTTTATTAAGATTAAAGATAATAATTGATATGTGTTTGCTGCTTACACACCCCCAACTCTTTATATGCGTATGAATTAAACCAGCAGAACACAAGACATCAAAATAAGAAATGATGATTCCGCTGTGCATGCCCCTGTGTTGGACCGACAG